GAAAGCTCCAGTTTTAATAATAAAGAATTGTTAACAAAAACTAATTCTTAATACAATCGGAAAATAATTGAGAAAACTATTCGTCGTTTTTTCAATTTAATGTCTTTTTTTTTTTTGGGGGGTTGGGTTGGGTTTAGGGTGCCAACCCGCGATCCGACCCAACCCGACCCGACCACGCAACCCGAAACCCGAAAATCGCCCAAAAAATGTAAAAAACCGACCCAAACCTATCGGTTTGGGTTGGTTTTGTCGAGTCGGTCGATTTTTTGCCCACCCCTAACCTAATTGCAAAATGAAAAGTTTGGGTATAATTTATAATAATTTAAAAGGTTTGGGACCAGAACTACAATTCTTCCTTATAATATTAATGTCTTTCCACTTTGTAACAAGAACGTATGGAGTCATTAAAAAATTTGATGACAAACAGCCAAAGAGATCGCTAATCGGATATAGGCATATAGCATGTGTCACCTCAATGTAATAGATATTTACCAAGAATATAAGGTGTTATTTGACAATTAAAGAGTTTTTGCCCCGTTTCGTGATGATTAAAGTTATATTTTTAATAAATTTTGATAAAAGTTAATGAAATGTGTGGTTAAAAAGTTATGAAATTCATGAAATATGTAGTTAAAATTGATTGTTGAATTTGATTTAAATTAAAATTCGAATTTTAATCATTATTAAACATGGACTTTATATATAGAAAAAAATTAGCATATTTTGATAAAAGTTAACACTAATGTATGATTAATAATTGATAAAAATTATGACCCCGATCAAATGTATAATTTAAATTGAAGTTTAACAAGTTGAAAATTGATAAATCTCAGAAATTTTTTATGAAAGAACCACTTAATTTAGCCCCTGTTTGGTCCGAATTAAAAATCTGATTTTAATCCAAGTCAGGTCAAACAATTAATATTAACCACATCTTTCATGGGTCTCACAACGTTTCAACCATACATTTCAAAAACTTCCCTCAAAATCTACGAAAAATCTAATTTTAGTCTCTGTTTGACACCCATTTTAATCCCATTCTCATTTTTTTCTTTTTCTTCATTTCGAACACATATTCTCCAAATAAAATAATATTACACAAAAATTTAAAACTTTTCATCACTTTTCTATCACACATTCTCTCATGAATAACTATTTCAAAAATTTTATTCTCATTTTAATGAGATTTAAACACACACTTAAATCTCTACCAAACACTCTCTTAGTTTTTGGCACTTAAATAAATGTAGTTCCTTGCAACATAAACTAAGCAGGTGGGAGAATAGTTGAGAAAATTTGTTGATGGTCCCCATCTATCCACCACGTGCATAGGTTGCATCAAAGTGCGTGAAGACAGAAAACAAGAAAAGCCGCTTATTTTCATTAAACAAGATTTTAAGTACTAATGGCAAACATATGTGCTNGCGTGAAGACAGAAAACAAGAAAAGCCGCTTATCTTCATTAAACAAGATTTTAAGTACAAATGGCAAACATATGTGCTCATGAGAGTTTGGGTGCATTGGATCCTTCACAAGATACTGTTTGAAAGCCTCCTCTACCATCATCACTAGCATTCCTCTTTCTTCTCTAACTTTCTCTCTCTACTTCTTGCTTCAAAAGCTCAAGAAAAACTCCAAAAATCTAAAGAAGTTCAGTGAAAATAATCAATTAAAGGAAAACAAAAGATTGTGATCTTGATGATTACATTTCACGTAGAATTTCTCTAACAACCCATCATTTTCTCTTCTTGACTCCCTCAAACCCCCACCCCACCCTACCCTCCTTTCATTTCATGACTCGGACGTTGTGCAGTTTTCATGCGTGAGAATGTCAAGTACAGAGTTTTTTCTCATCAAAGAAGAGCTAAAGGAGATTAAATTCGACATTCTTTCAGAATCTAAGGTGGAAGATCCAGATTCTTCACAAGATGTTGTGTCAGATGGTGCTCAAGTTAATGTAAAAAAACAAGATGACCATGATGATACTCATCACAAAGAGGAAGAAGAAGAAGAGTTTAAGGCAATATTTTCTTCAAGAGAATCTGAAAAGCCATGTTTAGCACAATCCCAGGTAGAAGAATACGATGAAGGGTTTAAAACTCCGACGTCTTCGGATCACAAAATCTCAGTGGTCAAGCAGTGCCCGGCAGCGCCAAGAAAAACCAGATCATCTACAAAGAGAAAATCATCGCCAGCAAGAATTCGTAGGAGCCTCCAGCTCGATGTGTCGGCCGAGATCGAATCAATGTTCCCTTCAAGGCCTCGAGATGATAAAGAACACAAAATCAAGAAAGCTCGAAGAGATGATGAAGAATGAATGTTTATCACAGACACCTACTTCGCTGTACAGTAAGATTATTATTTATTCCTAACAATTAATGAGGTTCTGTTTCTTAATGCTCATGGTGTTCTTGACCTATTTATTGAAAATATAAACATATTTTTAATTTAAAAGAAATCATTTAACTTAGTTACTTATAGTTTATATCTGGAAATTTTCTGAGTGGGATTGATATTTTATCAAATTTTTTTATTTTAATTCAACTATAAAGAATCAAAGATAAATAGTTTAAGAAAATCAGAGGTTAGAGTAGCCACTATCCAGGACAGACTGGAGAGAGAGAGAGAGAGAGAGAGATTCAACTTTATAATTGCTTCCATTTCTTTTGTAATCAAGGTGTTATGTTTGTGAAAAGAAGAGAAGGTATTTTCAGTTACAAGGAATTTTCTAACTTTTTTTTTTTCATTTTCAAATAGAATCTGGAAAAAAAAATATTTGTGTTCTTCATTTTTTATTAAAATTAGGGCTCCTAAAAGCCACTGGCCTTATCCCTTCCCAACTCTCCCCCCACCCCACCCCATCAAAAAAAAAAAAAATAAGAGAGAGAGCTGGTGGCCTTCTTTATTCCATGCAATTATTTTATATTTTAGGTTTTTTAGCAAGTTCCCGTGAAGCCAGGAACTGCTGAAAATCGAAAACGAACATAAGTGTTTGGTTAGTTGAATTGAAAATACTTGACAGTGGTGTTAAAATTTTGTTTATTATATTGTCTAGCACTCCGCACTAAAAGTAAAAACAAAAGGATTTGGATCGTGTATCAACCTTGTAAAGTTCCCTCTTCTTTTTTTTTTTTTTAAAGGTTATAGCCTATAGATTGAGGAAAGAAATGCCCACGATCATGCTTCGATGCTTCATGCTGGAATTTCAAACACCCTCTAAAAATAAATTTTACAGTGTTCTACTGAGTAAATTATCACTGGATCTGCTACAAAAAAGGACAAACTTGATGCAGAATATATGGGACACGACAGTGCAACAAAAGAACATCCATGGGGTAAACTGCAAGATATTAAAGGATGACAGCGCATAATCGATTTGTTACTTTCAGTTATTCATGGCTAGCATTAAACAATGTGCAGAAGTTCTGTATGGAAAATATTTCCCAATCAAACAGAGACCAGAGAGAGTAGGAAAGGTCCCATTCATTTTGCATCTCTCTTTCCATTTGTTTCAAAGACAATTAGTGAAAGGAAATGAAAGAGGAATAAATACAGAACTCAAAGAATAGAAGGAAAAAGAAACAGCCCTAATGGTGGGTCGTCTTTACACGACCGTCCAGGGACCCGAATTGTGACGTGAGTCAATGATGGATGCAACCTAATCGTTGGATCCACCACATTGGAGTTTTGTGCCCATATAGTACATTTTGTTGTAAAATAATATTTTATAATTAATAAATTATAGTTTTACTTTTTATTATATTAATTTAATATTGAGTATACAACTAAAATGCATACGATCACTTGCATAATTAAGTTGGATGCTTGTGTTGAAAATGTAACACGACTTACCTTATACATAAAGTTTGTACCCATCCATTCACTATTCGGGTGATAACAGTACAACTTAAAAGTATTAAACAGACTACTTGATCATGTAGAGAATTAAATTTCAGTTGATCGCCGAGCATTTCATCAAATTCCTTAACAGGGTTCTGAATATCTTTTCTAAAGTTTAATGATTCTTTAAATTACCAATGGATGATAATAACTTAATGGTCAAAAATCTCGATGAGTTTAGAGCTTAAAAATGTCGATGAGTTTAGAGCTTAAAAATGTATAAAGTAGAGTATAAAAATTCGTGTAGGGAATCGTCTTCTCGAAAAATGAGTAGAGTAGAATGACTCTTCAGCGTTTTCAAGTTGAACAATTAAAATTTGAGTTCGGTGTTTAGCAACAACTAAATTTCGACATACATGATTGATTCACATAATTGCTAAAAAAAATAGTACTTAAGTTAATGGTAATAATTAGATGGATAGAACGATTATTTTTGCTCTTTCCTAATTATCGAATCTCGAACGAAAATAAATATATAGTGGTAGTTCAAAAGAAGATATTACAAATCTAATGACTTCTGCGATTTTATATATTTCAAGGGTACGATATTTTGTCTTTAGTGGAAAAACAAAAACATTAGGCCCATGTTTGGTACGAATTAAAATTCAGATTTTAATATAAATCAAATAAACAATTATTTTAAACAACATATTTCATGGGTTACATAACTTTTCAACCATACATTTAATCAATTTTTATCAAAATATGATCGATTAGACATGATCTAATTATTGGATTTTGAATAATATATGTTCTATTAGGTCTACGTGGTAGATTTATAAAGCATTGAGACTTAATTGTAATTACTATAAAATTTTTGAACTTAATTGTAATGGCTGATTATAGTTGTAATTGAAGTTCCAAACTACACTTTAATTAAAAAACAATTCTACATGTACATTAGGGTTTACACCTTGTTGGTGAACCACCAACCAACAATGAAATGTCACTTGAGCATTATGTACACCTGATTTACGTGTAGCAAAATCGTTAATTAAATAAGTTATGGACTAAACCTGCATATGTGTACTTAAGAATCACTTCTAGGTAAGTTGTGATCATGATTCATGATATCCCTTTTCTTTGTTTTGCCACCCAAAATAAAGTAAAGAAGTCATTTGACGCAATTTCTTAAAATTTACTTTCTCCATACTCCTTTTGATAGATCGATAATTTTTATCAATATTTCTATCCATATTTCACCAATTTTTTACCAAAATCTTCCAAACCAAATGCCAGCTAAAATAACAAATGGAATTGACGTTGCCAATAAGAATAAACATTTGGATTGGCAAGTACTTGATTTTATCTAGTTATAATCTTGTAAATAATTTGTAGGACTGAAAGATTAAACGAGTTGTTTACTTCAGTTCTCTATTTCAATATAAAGAGAATAATTCCTGAGCTGCCTTTTGATCTCAGAAAACTTGGTTGCATTAGTGCTCAAGAAGTGTAAATGCTTTAATCTATTTGGAGGATCAATTTAGATGTTCTAAATACTTGGAGGATTAATTAATATATTTGTAATAGAAGGAGGATCATTTTAGATGTTTCTACTTTGGGTGATGCTATACGTACATAATGCGGTGTCCATAACGGTGTCCACCCCTTCACATGAAGGGAGACCCATTTCGAATAACATATAATATATCCGAAGGGGGACACCGCATTATGTACAAGTATCATATTCCTTCTACTTTCTAGTAGTCGGAATATCAATTCAGATGTTCCATATAAGTAGAGGATCAATGTAAATGGTTATAAAAGATAGGAGTGTCATTTTGGATGGTTCTAGTAGTTCGAGGATCTGTTTAGATGTGCAAAATAATCAGAGGGTCAATATAGATATTCGTCTAGATTGGGAAGTCGAATTAGTTATTTCTAATAGATGGGTATCAATTAGTTTCTGAATAGTCGGAGGTTATTGTAAAGTTTCTCACATATGGAGAAAATTTTAAGAATTTTGTCATAGTTGAAGGATCAAGTTTGATGTTTATATTACATTGAGCATTAATTTAATTACTCCATTTATTCGGATGATCATTTTACACTTTATTAATAGGAGGACCAATTTAGATGATGCTATAGTCGAAGGATGAAATTAGATGTTATGAGAACTTGGAGGATCAAAATGGAAGTAAGTTATACTTTGAGGAATAATTTAGATTCTACTAGTAGTTGGAGGACCAATTACCAAATTTCTAAGATTTAAAGGAGGAATTTATCAATTCAGTTGTTAGTATTAGGTTGAGGACAAAATTAGGTGTTCCTAATAGTTGTAGGGGCAGTTTGAGGATCAATATAGATATTCAGAAAGTTAAAGGATCTTTTTAGTAGTTTGAAATAATTGGAAGGGAGCTGAATTTGATATTTCCAATAGTTAAAGAATCACTTTAGATCGTCCAACTACAATGAACATCAAATTTCGTCCTCAATCATGAATAACAAAATTAACCCCCAAACTATTAGGAAAAATTAAGTAGATCCTCTATCTACTATAAACATCTAATTTGATCCTCCAAGTATTATGGTCACTTGAACTGATCCTTCAGCTACTAAAAACATCGATTTTGATCCTCCAACTACCATGAACATCTAATATTGTCCTCCAACTATATCAAAATCTAACTTGATCCTCCATCTATCATGAACATCTGATTTGGTCCTTCAAGTATTAGGGTCACCTAAAATGATCCTTTATCTACTAAAACATCAAATTTGATCCTCCAACTATATTGAACATCTTATTTGCTCCTCCAAGTATTGGAATCACCTAGACTGATCATCTATTTTGAATATCTGATTTGGTCCACCAAGTATAAGAATCACCTAAACTGATCCTTCAGCTACTATTAACATCAAATTTGATCCTCCAACTACTATGAAAATCTAATTTGTAACTAAAACTATAAGGAATCTCTAAATTTATCGTCCAAGTATTAAAAACATATAGCCCCTATTTTGGTGGAGATTAAAATTAAATTGTTTAGTTGATTTTAATAAAATTTGTTAAAATATGTGGTAGAAAAATTGGGGGACCCATTTAATTGTTAATTTTTATTTAGATTATAATCTAGATTTTAATTTTTACCAATATAGTTAATAGGAATACCTAAACCAATCTCCAACTACTATAAAAATGTAATTTTCTATCATGAACATCGAAATTGTTCCTCCATCTATCAGGAACATATCATTTGAATCTCCAGCTACCAGGGACATCTAGTTTGACCCTCAACCTATTAGAAACATCTAAATTGATCCTCCAATTAATCCATTAAACTAATTGGATCCTCTAACTATAGCTAAATTAATTTGTAACTAATATAAAGTTTTTAACTGCTAGGTTGATCCTCCATCTACATGAAATATCTCAGTTGACCCTCCAACTAATAAAACACCGAAATTGATCCTCCA